GTGTGTGTGTGTGTGTGTGTGTGTGTGTGTGTGTGTGTGTGTGCTTGTGCATGTGTGCGTGTGTGTGTGAAGCATGCAGGGAGACCAGGCTATGAGTGATCCCCAGGACTGAAACAGCAGAGCCCCCATAAGCTACCTTCATCTGCCGCCGTGTGCTCCCTTGGGGGTGTCGGCTTAACCTCTCGGGGCCTTGATATAGATTCAGACTCTCATGTCCAGAAAATTCAATGCCACAGCTCCATGGACCCAGCCTAGGAACCTAGCTAACAAATCAGGAGAATCTGATGCTCACCCAAGTTTGACAAGTTTGACAGCCAACTGCTATGGACAGAAATGCTAGTTCTAGAATGTTCCATCCTCCCTTTAGCCTCCGAAGACGGATTTTCCTATTATAATCTGCCTGCATTTCTGTGGTGACGGTGGTGGGCACTCAGCAATGCCACAGTTGTTAAGGAAGGCATTTAAGTCGACACCCTGAATACCTTTCCTCATGCTAGGAGCTGCCCCAAACAGCTGCCCAGTCAAGAAAAGCTCACAGAGCTCTTGCGGGCTCCCAGGCACATCACCATCCCCCCAAATGAGGCAAGTGCTCCATTTGTTGCCCTAAATTTAACATGCTAATATTCTTGGCCCAGAACTGGTATTGTGAGCTAATATAAGAATTATGTTTAGAAATTGCATATTCTAGTTTTTGAAGGACTCCTAGTCTGGCTTGACATATAGTATCATCTCCCACCCTCGGGAGGTATGATGGTTTCTGTGAATGTCACAACTGAGCAGTTACAGGTTGGTCCTGAAAGAATCTTTGAATTAAAAAAAAATAAACAAAAACACCCAGCTTCAGTTTGGGTATAATTTGCATACCCCAAATGTCACCAATCATAAGGTAAAATTGGTGTGTTTTAGTGAACTGACGCACTTACGTTTTCCAACACCCAGAAGGCTCCCCTTGCTCTTCTGCGGTTGCTCCTGCTTCCGGCCGGTATCCACTAATGTGCTTCAGTTTTGCCTTTCCTAGATATTTCATATGAACAGAGTTATCCATCTCATGACAAAGCACCTGAAATGATTAACTTATCTTTAGAAAAGGTCTGTTTTGGCGCCTAATTTCAGAGGTCCCAGTCCACGGCTGATTTTCTAGGACCTTTTGGGCCTGCTTGGCTTATCAGGCGCTAGGATGTGAAAGACCAAGAGGAAAGAGGCAGTCTCAGGGCCTTGCATGATCCTAATGTCAAGCCTTTACAGCAGACAGGTTAGAATTCTCCATCTCTAAATGCTCTGCCAGCTCCCAACAGTGAGGCCCTAAATCCAAGCGTCACAATGTGGGTCGCTGTGGGTTTGATTTCTCTCACCTGAGGTCACCTGTGCTGCTGCATAGACCTGCCATCATTCTTTCCAGGGCAGAGGAGTATTCCACCTCGTGGGACCTTCCTTGATCCCCTCTGCATTCTCTGAAATAAAACCCGATGCTTCCCTATTGCACGGACCGAATAGAACTGTACTCAGCAACTCCAACCCTGGGGGGGGTCTCTTGGGGCTGGGTGTGGTGAGCCCAGCACCGTGCTGACTGATGAGGGAGGGAAGGGGAGGGAGGGAAGGGGTTCCTAGTGTAGGCATTTGGTTCAGATCCTGTCTGCTGTATTATTATTTTACTTCATTATTATTTCGAGTGTGTGATGTGTATGGTGCGGTGTGATCATGACACAGAATTGCATGTGGAAGTCACAGGACAATTTGTAAAAGTCAGTTCTTGCCTCCCACCATGTGGATCCTGGGGAACAAATTGAGGTTTCGCAAGATGGGGCATCTTGCTGCCCCCCTTCTTTCCTCCTCCCCTCCCTTCTCTTCTCTTTCAAAATAAAGTCTTATTGCTCCGGCCAGCCTCAAATTTCCAGGCACAAGTGATCTTCCCACCTCAGCCTCCCAAATGGCCACCCGATCACTCTCAGCTTGCATTCTGGACCTCAATGAAGGATGTCTATTCTTAGTGGAAAATCATTGCATCTCTTTTTCAGAATGCATAATTTTTAAATCCATTTTTTCCTGCAACATGCTAATGTCATGGACTACCTATGAGCTTAAAATGCAAAGACAACCGGTACCAGGTAGAGTGAGCTGCGGCAGATGCAACTGTCAGGGGCTAAGCATGTGGCTCAGAGGTAGGACAAGTGCCTGGCATTGCTACAGAGAGACAGAGATGAAGCAGGCTGTGGCATTCCCGCTTCGCCTTCATCACTGGGCTGTAGCAGCTCCTGAACCTGGTGCAAATGTGACCTTGTGTGCAGGTGTTCAGTGCATCCCCTTCAGAATGTGCGGTCTTTGGTTCCGATATCTTCATTTGTCTGTTGCTCTGGAAGCCCTTCCTCAGCTTCTGAGGCATTCTCCACACCCTGAAACAGCCGACACTCCAAGGTATTTGCAGAATAGCTGATGCCTCCATTTCTAGCAGCACAGCTGATTGGCCCAAAGAGGAAAGAGCATCTAGTCGCTTGGGAATTCAGTTCAGGGGGCCCTGCGGTTTGTTTCTTCTTTAATTTTTAAAAATGTGATTAACTGATATTTTGACAGCACAGGAAATTTGGCACATGTTTATTAAGTGCTTTTTTTTTGAAAAGGGCACGATGCCAGGTATAAGGCAATGATCTATGTGTTCTGTTCATTAGAAAGAAATTTCAATACCATTGTATGCCCCCTGCCATACAAAGCACACATATGGGTAATTCAGAGTTCCAGAAATTAACAGTCTACAAGAAAGAATGTGACTTCAGCATTATTGCTTGGATAATTTGCATATTGCTGATAAACTTTGGGAAGCCACAATTTTCATGGTGTGGGGAGCTCAAGGTGCTTTGTGTCATCTGAAGAGAGAGCCTTTGCGTCACTGACCCGTGTCTTAGCAGAAGAGGGAGAAACTGGATCCAGCGAGTCTCTGTGTGTGTCACCTGTGTGTGGCACAGCACGTGTGGAGGTCAGAGGACAACCTGCAGGAGGTGGTTCTCTCCTTCTACCACGTGGGACCCCAGGATCAAGCTCACAGAAGCAGACCTGGCAGCACCCCGTCCGTCCATCTCTCCTTCCCTCACCCCGTCTGTCCATCTCTCCTCCCCTCACCCTGTCCGTCCATCTCTCCTCCCCTCACCCCGTCCGTCCATCTCTCCTTCCCTCACTCTCGCTCTCTTCCTGCCATCCCTATGGGGTGATGACAGAATCTCAATTTTCTTCTATCGTCATTTATTGGGTGAACAGCCCTTTGTTTTCTGAGTCTGCCACACCTCTTTTACTGAATGTAAACATCTCCTGGATGGACATGTAGTGCAGGCCTGTCATCCCAGCAGTTGGGAGGCAGAGGCAGGGGGATGGAGGAGTTAATGGTCAGTTACATCTTGAGTTTAAAACTGGGCCTTGTGGGAAAAATTGTTCCCAACTTAAACCTGTACAATAAAATAATAGAGAGCATGATGCACATTGGCCTCCTGTTTGAACATTCTATTCTGTCTTGTTGATTTTATTCCAGAATAATACAACTTTAATTGCTTGGTTTTTTTTTTTGTTTGTTTGTTTGTTTTGTTTTTGAGACAGGATATTTCTACATAGACCTGGCTGTCCTGGAACTCACTCACTCTGTAGACCAGGCTGGCCTCAGACTCACAGAGATCCATCTGTTTGCCTCTGCCTCTCGAGTGCTGGAATTAAAGGTATGTGCCACCTTGTCTGGCTCTAATTGTATGTATGTATGTATGTATGTGCTGTGGATATTGTTCTATATAAATAAAACACTGGTGGCCAGTGACGAGGCAGGAAGTAGGTGGGACAAGGAGAGAGGAGAATTCTGGGAAGCGGAAGGCTGGGGGGAGAGACACTGCAGCCACCGCCAGGAGAAGCAGCATGTAGAGACTCTGGTAAGCCACCAGCCACGTGGCAAGGTATAGATTTATAGAAATGGGTTAATTTAAGATAAAAGAACAGTTAGCAAGAAGCCTGCCACGGCCATACAGTTTATAAGTGATATAAGCGTCTGAGTGATTATTTTATAAGTGGATTGTGGGACTGCGGGGCTTGGGGAACCTGGAGAGAAGACTTCCAGCTACATGTATGTGTATGTATATATATGTATATGTATGTGAGTGCTCAATTTGCATGTATGCCTGCATGCCAGAAGAGGACATCAGATCCCATTATAGATGGTTGTGATATATATATATATTTGTGATATATCATGTGGTGGCTGGGAATTGAACTCAGGTCCTCTGGAAGAGCAGTCAGTGCTTTTTTCTCCGAGACAGGGTTTTTCTGT